CGCAACAGGAATCGAGAGATGGCTATCTTATGGCTATCGATTATCGATCGGCTTCGACACAAAGTTTCACGAGTTTTTCGAAAAATTTACGATCTTAGAATCTCGCTTTTATCGCTTTTGAGAGAAAAACGCGTATTCTCGACGAGTTCGAGAAGTTGAAGTTGTATTATATGAGAAGTTACGAACAATTTCCTCTTAATGCAATTAGATTATATTAATTATATCACGTTCAACGATTTTAAACGATTTCGATCGTTAAGAGCCGGCTAGAGTTCACCAGACTGTAAAATATGGTCGAGATATCACTTAGAGAAGGTCTCTGAAACGTGTCGTTAAATAGGCAGTAAATACTGATAGAAGGCAGTGGCCGTTGGCTTTTAACCAGATTTTTGAAAAAGATCTGAAAGTAGGAAGCGCCGCCCAATCGTCGGAGTGGAAAAATTTTCCTCCGGTTTCGTGGTGGGTACGTAATATCCTGAGTAGTCCCCTTTCTCAAGTTGGAACCCAGGGCGAAAAAGAAACGAGAGAGGTTCGTATTTCGAACGATGGCAATCACTTCCTCGTCGGTGTGCTGCCGCGCGGTCATAAGAAAACCCGGTCTGATTTGCGATTTGATTATGTCGTTCGCGTGCGTATTACAATTTCAAAGCAAGCACCGGCTCTATCTAGAAACGGAAAACGGTATGCTGTCTCTTCGATGGGACACAGAAACAAGCGTGGAATTTTTCTCCGTCGACGACATTGATCGCTCGTCCATCAAATCGATTCGTATGCTATATTTGTACTATCCACGCTTGGTCAAAGAGATATCCGATATCTCTACGCTCGTTTCGATGCATTTTCTACGAAGACACGTTTTAAATAATTTAAAGCGATTTTTACAATTTTTCTTCTATCGCGCGATGATCGCACGTTCTTTTTTTTTTTTTTATTTTTTCCTTCTTTTTCAGCGCGATAAATGGAGAGAATAATAAAAGATCACGTCTTCACGTTATTACGTATAACAATGGCGTGAAATAGTGTGTCGAAAGTGCAACGCGAACGCGCATGTTCCCTTCGGGATCATCCTCGTTATTGTTGATCTCAGAAAGTATATATACGAACGTTGAAAAACGAGGTCGTGACAGATTAATGCTTGATAATCGCCACTGTCGCCCGTTGAAAGTGGCGTATGTGTATTAAAGCAACGGTGTCGCGTCAAGCATATAATATATATATATATATATATATATATATATATATATATTACTTACTGTAGTACACAGT